CACCCCTTTCTAAACCTAATAGATAGTTTAAATATGATTTTCTTTTAATATTTTATTTATACCTTTTTAATAGGGTAGATGAGAATGTCCGTCTGGTAGATTATTTTAAAACATTACACAGGTATTTTTTATTTTTTTAAAGAAACTAATCGCTTCGACGATATATTGATTTGAAATTACGCGTGACGTCACTGCTATGTACATTTTATACGTAGAAATGACGTTTTAGCCCTCACTTTGAAACTTTGATTCGTTATATCTAAGTATTATTTTATTATACAACAAAATAAAAAAAAAACGTATCTTATATTTTTTATTACCTAACTTACGGACTAATTAAGATTTTTAATTTTCATACCCTGTCATCATCCCTATTGTCGATATGTCTAAAATATAATCGCGTAGAACTGCCTGTCTGATTTGGAAAATATAGAGCACATAGAAAATCAACGTGTGTAATTCCAGGAACGCCCAAAAGGTGCGGGCGCCATGCTGTTTTATTTTCCCTAATATAAATTACATTATTATGACACAAATGCGTGTTCGTACAAAATAATTAAGCTACACTAATGAACATACTCTAATTATGCTCCGGAGCAATGGGAAAAAATTTCCAAGATGCCGATAAATAATAATGAGAGGACAGACCATTCTCTTTTCCTTTGTGTGAACAAGTCTGAACGAAAGTTAAACCTATTTGCAGTTTACCTACTCATGAACTCATGAGATAACACGAGTAGTCTCGAAAAAACTGTATTAAACCAATTTTAATCTAGGTACTAGGTAATATAAACATAACTGCGAAAGTGCATTTAAACCATAGCTGAAAGTTATTAAAGCCTTCATATTGCAATTCAAAATTCACAATGACAGCAGTCGAAGCGGTCGCATTCGTTGAACAAAACGACGCCATTGAGTTTTACGATTTGCCAGACTCAATCAACGTTAATTTATACGTCTGATTGAAATGAATGGAAGTTAATTAACCAGATCATCAGTCTTTGAGTAAGATACGCAGAATGTGATAGTCGAAGATAGATAGAGGTGCCTGGCGCGGTTCGGTACCACTACTATTCCTATACCTGAGTATACCTATTAGAGTAGGAAGAACATTTTGCAGTAAATTAACTTGTTACCAAAAATATATCGTAACTGTTACAACTTTAAGGTTATTTTCCGGTGACATTGTTCGATGTACATTAATGTCAGTTGTTTATTTTGTTTTAATTTTAAAAGTGTCCTTCGTGCTCGGTCACTGGGAACGGAACACACGATGTAGCGTGATGTAACGCCATCGCGGGTACCCAACGAGATACATTCTGTACAACTATTTCAAAACTTTAATTTATTGCTGCCTATTAAGGCTTTAAATTAGGTCTCTGGATATTGGCCGCGTTTAAGTAAGTTAGTAATGAAGTATAAACCAAAACTTGATGTGGCTCTACCAAGTGTATAAAATCAAGTTTATAAATATCTATATGAGCCTCGTAAAGTAACTATTAAGTTTGGCATCCTACCTATGTTCACAATTGGGTAGTTTCCAGGGTATCAAAATTAAAAATCTAATTAGTCCGTCAGTTAGATAATGAAAAAATATTAGACACTATTTTTTTATTTTCTCGTATTAAGTTTCAATAGGTACTTAGATAAAATGTCGCTAAGTTTAGGAGTGGGAGGTCGTTACGTCATAACGTGCTACAAAATGTGTCACGCTGTGACGTCACACAATATTTCAAATTAATAATATATGTATAGTCGAAAGTATTTAATTTTGTGAGAAAAGAAAAAATACGTGTCTAAAGTTTTAAATTAAATGTACTAGGTGGACATTAAAATAAAATTTAGGAAACTACCCTAGAGACAAAAATGGACCTTCCAGTTTAAGCTAACTGACATAAATATCTATGTACTACAATATACTACCAAACGATACACTATTTATTTGTATTCCGTACACAGCCTGATATGGGTTTCATAACGTTCAACAAATATAAAACGGCTACCGACTACTTGATTTAATCAGTTTCTAAGGAATTCCACACCTCACACTAACACATATTCTCTAAACAAAGGAGACCTCAAAAGTATCGAACTGCTGTAAAAGCTATTGTATTTAAGTCATTGTTTGATCAGATGTGAGAATATTAACCGGCTATATTATTATCATCAGCGTAAACCGTCAATCGAGGAACTAGTGATCCGCTCGAGTAATTTCGACCTACCAACACAATGCACTTGTACCTTAGTCAGCTATAAAACCACTCATAAGAACAATCATGATGTCTACCTGTCCCGTCTCTTCATACACCCACCTACATAATGTCACATTGCCATTGCTACTATGTACGTACATTTTGTCTCCAACAATCGCTTGTTTCCCGCCTGACGTAATGTCAATAAATCACCAGCCAGTTATTTATGCTTCTTATAACCTTCTATATTATCTGTGCACGGTAACGTATCTATGTAATAAGGGTTTATTCTACGGCTGGTAAGGTACGTTATATAACGTTATCAATCAAGTTTAAAAACGATAAATACGGAAACGATAACTAATCTTTTATTTTATTATAAACTGTTGTTATTATTCCCTTAATCTTTTAGATTTTTATTAATTTGCGGCTCAAACACCGGTGTTATTCCGATAAAACTTAATTTTCAGAATGTAACAGCTATTTGGGGCGCACAATTAAAAGTAATTGGCAGTAATCATTATCATTGCACGTTAACACCGCCACATTTAACTGTAATAATAATGATAAAATGTAATGTCAACTGTAAAACAAAAAACAACTTGGTAACAAACAGAAATATTAATCTCAGCATACAGTAGGTAACGGAATTTTATCTTAAGTTTAATCTTAATGAGGCACAGAATTAGTGATGAACGAAGCAACAAGACTGGAATGGTTTCCTAATGACAGATGTCTGGGATAGACTTAACTATAACTAATGTCCTACCTACATTGAATGAAGGTAAGTAGACGTATACAAGTTATAAGTAAACATATTTCAGATCGGGGGCGATACTAATTGTATTATTCGATATACAGCCCACGCGAGTGAAGCAAGCAATAAAAGGCTGTTGCTAAACCGATAGAGGTGGCGGCATGACTCACATATTACCATACTTATTTATAAATATAACTTCTCACCAAGTTGAGAAATAATTTGATTTAACAGAGTTCATCGGGCAAAGTCACATGGCCGTGGACGCATAGCCGTGACATTGTGGATACTCACACGATAACAAAAATATTTACTTCGACTAGGCACTCTGCCAAACGCGAGTAAGTATGTTCTTATAGACAATCGTTAATCAATTTTAAACATTGGCCAAATACCTGCAAATGGCAAACTGAACTCGTCGAACCTCAAATATTGGAGTCATCAGATGTCTAGTTGGACGATGAATAATCTTAATTTAATTCGTATTTCCTATTTGCAATTCACCAAGTCAAATTAAATTAATAAATTTACTTAAAGCAGTAGGCATGGTTTGTACACTTTTCTATGTATATTTACCAATAGCTTACCTATCTAGTAGATTATTTTTTATCTTCAATAGCAACAATCTATAATCGTCTAATATCAGCTGAAGGCAGTAGGGCAATGTGATAGTTATTATTGAGACATTACTACAACGCGCCCAAGACATTCGGTTAGTAAAGTTACAAGTGATTGCGTAATACTTCATTAGGCAGACTGTGTCGTGTCACAGAACACCGTAACACGTTTGCCCGGACACGACGGCTTATTGTAAATTGTAACAAGATTCATCAAATTCGTAGCCTATATCTTCAAAGACGTGGCGTGAAACAAAACATACCTACGCTTTACAAGAAACAAATTAATATATCACATAAATATTTCAAGAATGACTTTGAAAAATAACTGACGTAAAAGACGTTAATAAAATTGAATCATCTTTGCATGATCTGCTGAACATATTCATTGAATTTCTATGTAAAAAAATACCGAGTTACAACAACGACGCGACGGTTACTCAGATGATTTTCACGGTCAACGTCGTGCTCACTCACTCTACCTTTATAAAAAGTGATAAACATAGCTACGAGTGTAGCTATAGACGCTATTACAAAGAAATTATTACCAAAATACATCGTTACGTCAACTCTTTGGTAACAAACGACGCAATGTGACGTCAAATTGTCTATTCTATTTATTATTCTAACCAAATCAATCGATACACCGAAACGTTGACTTTAATTCAAGTTAATTAACATACACCTATGTATTTATTTACTTTCTATACACAAGTAATTTCAAAAAAATCACTTGGGTTATTAGCAAATATTTCCTAAACCAGGCGCTGTCATTCATAATTAACAGCAGTCATGAAACAATGCTCGTTGCGTAGCATTATGTGTTATATGACCTATATTATCATGCTTTATCAGTGTAAAACCCACAAATTTTATCTCAATATCAGTGGCACACCTGACGAAATGTTCATTTGTGCAATAACATCGTGAATTATATGACAAGATTGTAATATTAAATAATATTTATGCAAAATGCAGAGCAGTGCATTAATGTTCTTTATTGATACCAACTAATACTGAATCTTCGTCATCAGAATACTTTAATTAAAAAAATAATTCCAAACCTTTGTGTTAATTTTGTACATGAGTCTAATAAAGTTATAAAATAAGATTTGGTTTAAAGTTTTAGCAAAAAATATCTGACTACAATAAAATGACGCCATGAATTGTTCAACATTCTTGCGAACCACGCTAATGGTGGTGCGCATTCATCAATTTAACTGCAGTCAGAATGACAATTACCTAACCTATACAGGTACAGGTATATAGCCACGTATTTGTGTGAAAGGATAGTGAGCAGTTAGGGACAATCAGCATTTGACCTACTTGTTTATGATGCGCGGATTCCTACACAACTGCAAAATGTCGTATCAAAAGGTGTGACTAAAAAAAAGAAATTAGGTACCTAATACAAAAGAAGCAGTTATTACTCACCCACAAGTGCAGATTTCACAGATGCACTGCTCCTTAGTGACAATCTTCTCGGGTTTCTTGGGACCGGGGCCCTTAGGCCTGGTCTCGTCGATGATGACGGTCTCCTCAACCGTAGTCCTGTCGTCTCGCATTGTTCTCCTGTCGTCGATGATGGTCTCATCGTAGACGGTGCTGACAGTATCCTTTCTTGTGGTGTCCGTGATAGCACGGTCCACCACGTCGTATTCTCGAATAACGTCTTCGGTCGTTTGGACATCGCGCTGAAATTAATTAAATGTTTTAATGTCTTATACACATAGGTACTTCTGGCTTCTTGTACCGACAAATACTTTATCAATTACTTTCTCCAAACTGATAAAACAATGAAAATATCACTTTATCAATTGTAGTGCATTACTATGATTGATACTTTGATGTACACAATATAATTACATACTAATATCTCGCTATCTAATTATGGCTATCTAATTATGCCAAGTTTAATTTGATTGCAATGGAGATTGTGAACAAAAACAAACTTTTGAAAATAAATTAAAATGCTTACCAAGTTTTTGAAGTCTAACGCACTCTTGTCGACGTAGACGTCTGTCCTGATCTTGTCGTCTTCTTTAGCATCTTCGTAAGTTGTTATTTTTCTAGTAATGCCATTTTCAGTGATGTATCGAGTGACTTCAATTTGACTTCTGTTCTTGTCCACTTCGAATGCCTTTCTAGTCGTTTCGCCTGTAGTGGTACTAACGACAGTAGTTTCTTCTGTATCAAGTCCTTCGTATAGGTCCTTCACATCTTCATTAATCTTAGTTCCAAATGTTACTTTTTCAATTCTCTTAAATGGATACTTTTTCACCGTATCTATAATTTCTTTTAGGATACGATCGTCAATGTTTCTGTTGATAACGATGTTTTTGTTGCTCACTCGTACATCCTTGTTGAACTTAGAGCTCTCAATGATTTTTCTCAAATCACTGATTGATGTAAAATCTTTAATATCTCTAGATGATAAAATGATATTTTCTTCTGTGTCCTGTCGCTTTAAGTGATGTCTCGGTTGCTCAGGCCTGCCGAATGGTGACATCTCTTTAGGTCTTTTGGGCCTATCGTCGTCTGTTTCATATACAAACTTTCCATTCCATGTCCCGGTGCTCCTTTCGTATGTAGTCAAAGTATCTTTAGTTTGAGAAGTAGTTTTAGATGTGGACTCTTTCGTCAGGTTTTCCTTCTCCGTGGTCACGAAGTCAGTAGTGTCTTTCACATCTTTTATGTCTTTTACATGAGACTGAGTGTCAGTAGTTGTAGTTTTATATGTCGTTGTCTGATCAGTCGTATCACGAACACGAGTGTCATGGACATCATCTCTATCAGTGACATATTCCGTTATTGCCTTCTTCTTGGTGAAATCACCTCCATAGCGGTTGCTAGTAGCAGCAATTTCTTTCCCATTCTTATACAAAGCTGATTCCTCTGATACCTGCAGAGAGCTTTTAGGAACTCCATCTTTACCAGTGTCGTAATGAGATTCTTTATCCAGTACATGTCGTGTATATTCATGTTCCGGTTTTATTCCTGGACCACTAACATTGTGACTCTTCTCGTAAGTAGAATGTTCTTTGTTATCACCCCACTCTCTATGAGAAGTGTCCACGATACGTTCTTTGCCGTCAACAATTTCAACAACGTATGAGGACGTCGATGCTTGTTGAGCACTACTTGTATTACTTTTCATGATTTTCGTTGAGAAGTTTATGTTTTCGGTATTCGGCACTTGTAATATATTACCCACTTTCCTTAACTCATTTTGAATAGTAGTGTCATATCCATAAAAGTTGGATGAATCTGTCTGATTCATATTACGTCGTCGATCATCAACCATTTCCTTATTGACAGTGGTGGTGTCAACAGTATCTCTTCGATTTTGATTGGTATTATTAGAAACATTTCTTGTCTGATAGCGATCATCTTTTATTGATGAAGTTTGTTTATCATATGTTGTGTGTTCACGAGTAGTGTACTGTTGATCAGAAGTTAAATGTTCCCGAGTTGTGTAATGTTGATCAGTTGTTGAATGTTCACTGGTGGTGTATTGTTGATCGGATGTTAGATACTGACGATTAGTGTCATGCTGCTGGTCAGATGTTACATACTGACGACTTGTGTTATGCCGCTGGTCAGATGTTAAGTTATCGCGGTTTGTCACGTACTTTTGATCAGTTGTTACTTGATCACGGTTTGTTATATATTGTTGATCGTCAGTTAAATGCTCGCGGTTTGCTATGTAATGTTGATGCTTAGCAACATTATCTTTCTCCGTCGTAATACTTGAATGAGAAGTCATTTGATTTCCATCTTTTATGAATTTTGAGTCTTGTTTTACAGTCAATTCACTAGTAGGTCTCTTTCCATCCTTTCCTGTGTCGTAATTTGCTTTCATATCATAGTTCTGGACGCTGTGAGCAGACTGGGGCTTCATGCCAGTTCCACTTATGCTCGCATAATCCTCCTTAGATGAGTGTTCTTGTGCATCTCCCCACTCCCTCTTAGAACTGTCAATGATACGTTCCTTACCGTCAACAATCTCAACGACGTACGAGGATGACGAGGATTTTGTGACATTGCTGCTCTTAGTTTCACTTGACTGCGAAGTACTAGTATATTCTTTAGTTTTACCACTCTTATCCAAGCTGCCTTCACCTCCGTAGAAGTTGGATGAGTCAGATCGAACCGTCTGGGTCCTCTGGGAAGGATCTGGAGAGTTGCGATAAGTCACCCTCTCGTTTTGTTTTGTGTTCTGTTGATCCTTAGTATTCGATTTTGATTGATTAACTAAACTCTGACGCTCCGATTGGAGAAACGAATTGGAGGCGTTTGCATTTTGAGATCGTTTCACATACGTGTTAGTGTTGTGAACATTAGTCGAAGAGTTATCGATGAAGCCTGTATTAAGAGTTTGATTTGGAGCCGATGAATCAGTCGTTCTGTCAAAAGTTTGGCTGTGACTAGAGCCTGATTGCTGAACAGAAGTTGATGAAGTCTGGAATGTTTCGCTTTTAGAATTCTGATGGGACGAAGAAGATTCCTGGAGGACCGAACTAGAGACATATTCTCCCGATGTTGACTGTGCCATGTCACTCACATTATGTTCCAGCGCTCGGGTTTGAGAAAGGTCGCTGATGGAAGGAGCTTCCGTAATAATGTAGTGCGGGTGGCTATTGTAATGCTCCGATATAGTGGAGCCGGCTATTGAAGAGTGGTCCGAAATGTCAGTTATCATAAGCGGGTCATCCTCCTCGACCTTAACCTCGATGTACCGAACCTTCTTACCCGACGAGCTGACCTTCTGCACCGTGTTACTACTACTGCTTTGCACCGAAGTAGTCGAACTTGTCTTCTGAACACTAGTCGAAGCACTACCAGAAGAAGTCACTTCTGATGTTTTTGATTGTTTAGTCTTTTTATTTTTTATCGTCATTTTGGTCCCACAAAGTAACTTATTAACATACAAACTTTTAAATTAATTGAACAGGAGATTCTTAAATTACCACGTTAAAATATTTTTAAATAAAAACTAATCACATAATATAAATATCGTCAAACATTTGCCATGTACAAAGTAAATATTGGTCGCGAGAGTCGTTCGTGTCGTGTGTCGCTGAGTGCGCGCGCGCTCCTCGCAACTGACTCGCGGATTGTGCTACTCTGCGCGTGCGCCCCTCACACCTTGACGCCGCGCATCGCGCCCACCAGAGTTCTCCGACACGTAAGCGCTTACATCTTACTGTTGGACTCATACCAAAAATGGCGTAAAAGCTGCTAAACTCACTGCTTACTTAATCACGAACCTTAGTCACCAACAGTGCGCTGTACAATAATTAACCGATCGACAATATTATCAAATCACCTTGATCCGAGTCTGTTGCTACAAATCCCACAGATCGATAAGTTCCAAGTAGCTAGCTACTAGCTAGCCACTGATGTTTCAAATGTCAACCACAACACAACATAAGCACCACCCTTCAATGAATAAAAAATATTGAATAGTCTTTCAGTAGAGACTTGCGCACTAAGTAGGTATTCATCAAGACACTAATATAATTATTATATTTCCAACAACACATGTCAGGTTCTCTATGCGGTTCCGTGCTAGTAGAGAGACTCGTGATTGTGGAATCTCTGAATACACTAGACTTACATGGCTTCAGGCGCGTATCGACGGTAATCCTATGAAAAGCGAGCGCGAAGTGGGTAACTTACGTGAAAATGACCTAGTTTTGTACATTTCTCTTTATTCATGAAAATCATAGCCATTAGTGGCACAGGGTCACATTTTGTTTGATGTTGTACAAGAATTATTTAATCTATATAACTTAGATCCTAACTTAGTCACAAAATAAGTGACTTAGTGTTAAACTTAAGAACTTCCTATAGGTATATTTGGTAGGTGTACCAATAAATAACGTTAGTAAATCAACATTATTTTTGCACTTATGTAGGTATTATATTATAAGTACTGATTAAACCACACGAAACTAAAACTTGAATTCTATAAATAAGTGACGAAAAAGATTGACAATTTTAAAAACTTTATCTATCGAACCGTCATCGATTATTTTTTCAGACAAGTTTTCATTCATAAAAATATTGTACGCCTTCTTAAAACATAAGGCTACGCTGCCCACACAGTTCTATGTTAAATGATACAAGTGAACTGATCTCAGGGTAGGCACGGGCTGGTTATGTGACACAGATATTTGCATAATATTTTGGTGCAGTGCAACTTCCAGAATCGGTAGTCGGCCCAGCAAGCGATGCAATGCGCTTCGATCGGAGCCCACTGCATTCGAATGACCTGAATTTTTAGCAAACACTGAACATGTACCTACTAAGTAGATACACTCGAAAGAAATTTGATATTTTGTGAAATGAACAATGTAAATGTATGCAAATTGTAGTGGCATATACGTACGTGGTTGTATTTATAGGCTGTGATAGAGACTGACTAAATTTTGTTTTGGAAGAAAATTTATGAGTATAATGGAAGATGGCGTTTAGAATGATTGTGCCTGATATTTGAACTATCTCCCTATTTTAGTGCACTTAATTTTAATAGAACTGGAGTTGACTTGTTGATGAATATTACATCTCTACCCACCCGTTTGAAGAAATACTAGCATGGTCACCTAGACCAATATGTTTGTTTATGCTTATGACTGTAGTTTTATTTTAACCTATGAACAATTTACTAAAAATCTCACCAGACCGCGATGATCCAGTCACAGTTAATAAGAGGAAAAAGTATATGGGTCGAGTTCAAGTGAATCATTTATTATTCTTATGTAAACAGCTACATATACGTGTAGGTACCTAGTAGGTTTGCCTAGTAAGGTTTTATTGTAATTTGTTATGAAGCTGATTAACGCTGTGTAGGTCACTCTCAGATAGGCACCTACCGTTTGAATAAACACACTCTTATAAGGAAAAATCTATCGACTTAAAGACATGTCGCGGATTCTTAAACTATTAGGACTAATGATTCTGTTAGGTACAACTATATTTACAAAAAAAAAAATATCTTTTGAGTAATAACTATCAAGTCCTGGGACTAAGAAAGGAATTACTGAAATAAAGACACGAATTCTGAAATATTCGAGAATGAATTTTGGTCAAGAGCATACATAAGGACATGTTTGAATCATCTTTTATTTCAGCTGTAAGTATAATCATCCCTCCCGCCCGTTTCGTGGAACCGAGTGGCCCGACACTAGGTAGGTACTCAAGGGAGATGCGAATTGAAAAGGACAGACGTGACGAGAACAGAAATATCATAGCTACTTAAATAAACATTAGCTAGGTATTAATATGTATATACCTGTTAATTCCCTCTAATAATAAATACCTCAATATATACCTACCTGTTACTGTTATACAGCCCAAAACAGAACAAAGTGGAAAAATTTGAAGGAGTTCTACATCAAATTGGTTGAAAAAGGCTTGACATGATGAATTCCCTCTATATGTAGGCCGTCCACTGTCCGAATGTCCTACTAAAGTAAACAAACACAAAGCAAAAACAACAAGCGAATTTCTAGCAAGAGGCTCCTGGCTTCTGAACATAGACAAAAAGTTCTGTGGTCTTGAACATAATCGAGAACTCTGAAAATCCCATAATTTACAATATTGACCGGATTAAACTTAAAATCAAAACCGAGGTCTCAATATGAGACAGAGCTCAACAGTCACATTTACAAGTCAATGAACAAGGATTTCACAACAATTTTGAAAGTATTTGTTTCGATAATTGTGCTAAATGTATAAAAATATTACCGAATTATCGATGGCCAAGTCTGATCAAGTAAAGGCATTAATGCCCGCGCCAGACGTGGGTTGCGCAAGGCCCGTTGCCTTGCCTATACATGGCAGTGGGTGGGCGACTTGTCTTTGAATCACGCGCCCACGGACCAATTGTCTTGTCTGAATGCAACTAGCTCACCAATATACGCTTAATCTCTGCTTTACACCGTTACTTTGAGGCAGTTGACTAATTATTTTAAATATGAATGTAAAAAGTTATACGTACCTACCTACGTACTACAAAGTTTATTCTGTTTGAGCCGGTTTATTCTACGATACCTGCCTGCACTTACATTTGTTTACACCCTGATTTTATTACTATTAATTTTGTTATGTGCCTAAATTACTGAATGCTGTCTTCTGACTCTGACCCTCTGTACCTACTCTGTAGATAGGTACTTACTGGCTACTAGGTAGGTACTGCCTGCGACTTTGTAGCCAGTGGAAATAAGATATTATATTGTTATCTAACAACTTTACACATAATTTAACTAAAATGTGGACGTTCTGAAATACAAACAATAATAAAAAACCTAGGTAAGTATTTTGTTTCATTAGGACACTAAACTTTATTTGAACTTTCTTACTCACGCCTTTCTTGCTTAGGTCTTTCTCACTTATTTATCTCAACAGAGAGTTATCCGTACATGTTAAGTCATGCTTAATATAAGAACAGGCGTTATTTTAAAAACTTCACGACCATAAGCATCTAGGGACTTTTTAAATCACTGCGAAAAACACACAGGCAGACTTGTTCGGCCATCTAGTAAAAAAAAAAGAAAACAAAAATTAAACCACAACTAAATGGTCGTCTAGATGGCACTAATATCTCAAAAAGTTATTTTTAAAATAACACGAAACTGCATTGTATTGCCATCTAGTATCTAAAGTTGAAACCTCGTCTTTAGAATGTCAGCAAGTTAACGTAGATATCAATTTGATAGAGGGCAGTAGTGGTTGCAAAAGTCGATAAATGGCCGCGTGCGTCACACCACTGCGCAATCAAGCACGGAAATAAAATAACAGCTGTTCTACAATATTCGCTCGGGCAACTCAGGCAGCAGCTGTACCACGCAGCCGTTTTCCTTGGGATCGCGATTGTTTGGACGTTGCTTTCTCATTGTTGTAATAATCACCGTGTAGTTTGGACTGTTCTTTCGCTCATTTTTCATCGTTTATTACTGTGCAAGTAAATACAGTATTGGCGTTTGAAGTGTGTGAATCATAAATCCGTAAGCTACACTGGCGCTATGTTTACCAAAATTCCTCGTTCGTTGTTGTTGTGACTCAAGTTGAAATGCCTCGTGAATACGTGGACCGCGAGGAGAGTTCCGCAGTGTTATGTTAATAGAATCTCTTTTAGATAGTGATTTTAGTAAAATTAGTTCTTGACAATGTCTAACACGGTTCCGACCAGTTCTGCACTGAGGGCTTTGGCCTTAGAATATAAGAGTCTGCAAGAGGAGCCCGTGGAAGGGTTCCGAGTGAAACTTTTAGGGGAGGACAATCTATTTGAATGGGAAGTTGCAATTTTCGGTCCTCCAGACACGTTATATCAAGGTGGATATTTCAAGGTGAGTCCATTACATACATAACTGCATTAGCAATGACCTGTCATTCCATATTAAAAATATTTGTGCCTAAAAATGTAGTAAAAAAGGAGATACAAGCAAAATTATTGCATTTATGTGGGTATTACACCATACCATACATACATATCAGAAAACCACTTGTTCTGTATTTTATAACCAATATTGCCTTTGTTTCTATAGGTCTGTAGGATTTTAATTTATTATGAGCAGTTAGATAGATATCCTTTATAATTAAAGAAGTACTTATAATAAAAATTTTATAACTAACTAAATCATAATCATATGAGATTACTTAACCACCAAACAAAACAAAAGTGAACTTATAGAGGTTCCAAATCAGTACCAAATGAAACAATAGTAAACACCTATAAAATCTACCAGTGTGAAATCACTAGACTAATTAAAAATCTCTTTTTAAATCTAAGCAAACTTCTTTGTCTCTTAGACTAATTACTAGTATACCGAAGTGTATAATAATTGTGATGATGAAGCAGTTATAATACCTGCCTGTTTATTATCTGTTTCAAAATTTGTTTGTACTAGGTCAATAGTAGCAATTAAGCACTGATAACTGCTTTGATAAAACCTCTATAGTGCATATAATCATATCTTATAACACAAAATAGGTACCTATATCTTAAAATTTATCAAATTATCGTATGAATGGATATGAAATACAAGATATCCGATGCTAGTATATTAATTATGTTTACGAGCTCAAAAACAATAGTTGAATAACATACAATAACAATTGTAAGTCATTTACTTGTAATACATACTTCATTTTGAATAACATGAAGTGTTAATTATTAATTTTAAATTTATAAACAACTACATTCACACTGTACCTAGGTTTATTACCACTGTATCTAAAGTCAACTATTAAATAAATGTGAATAGCCTGAATGTAAATGAATTAAAGTAATTATCTGACTTGCTATCACTAGATTATAAAATGGAGTATAAAAAACATTTCAACACGTTCACTAGCAATGTCAGAAACTTCAAGTGGCTTCAATTAAACTGTCAAACACCAAGCGGTCACCGGTGACCGCAACCTATTGTTCTATAATTGTGTCTACAAAACCGGTACTCGACGAGTTAATTATCTCTTGTCCTGCTTCTTGTAATCCTATCTTTAAAGAGGTTCCATTATAAGTGTGTTATAAACCTCTGTTCATGAGTTATAAACATAATTATTAATTCTTATCATGAAACTCCCTATTTATGTATAAATCTTAACTGTTCAGATCCCTAAGCGGTCACCGGTGACCACTCTCCACTAACTCAATTATAGACCTTAGTTCCGATGTTTAGAGACTACTTTTGTATGAACAAATTTAGGGGATGATATGTCAATGTATTAATAAAAACTTTGTTAAAATACTTACCTAGTGAATTCAAAAAATAACGCCATAAAAGTGTTTTGTATGTACATTATAACCCAAACTGTAGAAAATTCAGGTTGTGTGTACCCACGGAAAATAAAAAACAGTGTCAAGTGTACCCTAACCTACCTATCTGCTTAGTTACAAAAATAATTTATTGTTATTACAAATCCTGTTGTAATTCTAGGTGCCTAGGTACTCAATCTTTTCAATATCTTTGTCAATTTAAAATTATTTTAATATTAATATTAGTTTAATTTTTATAAGTATATGTTATTCATAATCTATTACTATGTGGATATAGCCTACAATACATAATTGTTAGTTTCATTTAAAATTTTGATGATCAATATGAATACCTAGTTAATTTTATCATAATGAAATAGTAATGCAACAATATATGTATTCTTATTATGCATGGTGTTAAATAAAATTATTTACCACTTTGAAATACTGGTACCTATGTAATTAAGGTGAAAGTAGCAATTTTTTTTAATTATTTACTCTTGACACACATACATTTAATTATTGTTTAAAAACAAAAGGTGTGTGTCTATGTTAGGGATCTTACTAAATTGTAGAACTTGGTATATTTATTAATTAAATTATTATTTTTGTTCCAGGCACATATGAAATTCCCGCCAGACTATCCTTATTCACCACCTTCCATTAGATTTTTAACAAAAGTATGGCATCCAAATGTATATGAGGTGAGTGAAAATTCTAGTTATTTATGCATTATTATTGTTTTATATTTATCTCATAAAGTGGTAATGTTTAATGTATTATCCTTATTCTGTGTACCAATATTTGCACACTAACTCATATTGCGTGTACCTACTAAAATGTGTCACCGTGTTCTGGCGTGGTGTATCGTTATTATGAGCACATGTTCGGCACATCTTATCTGACTCCACAACACGTGGGTTAGTGTAATCATTCGAATACTTGACCAGTACGCATTCGTAGATAACCAGGAAGAGGAACTAGGTACTAAACTTGTTTTAAAAGAAATAGTTTATAATTACGTGGTACCTCAACCGCATACATATATTGCAAACTTAGCCAAGTAGTCGTAAGAAGAGCGCACATTTTTAAATGAGTCATGTAATGTAGATAACATTATTTAACATTGAGATTTGTAAGTAAAGTTAGATACACTCTGTTGCCTTTATCACGACGCAGAGAGTCTGACCACCAATAATTTTGGCTGAAGGCCCGAAGCCGTACAGTCTTAATATTGGCATGGCTAGACAAGAAAAGGTTTTTTTCTGCACATGACATGTTGACAGCTATGATGTAATAAATGTACCTAAATATTATAAGCCATAAGGGTCTGTTTCACAATATCTGCTCACTAGATTGACAGATGATTCACATTTATCATCATCATTTTCAACATCCCGTAACAATCCCCTGTTGTACGAGCTTTTACATAATAAACTCCACGCTTGGCAGGTGGATTGAAGAAAATACATCAAATACCTACGTCTAGTTACTGTCCAGTTGGACTAATATAAACTTAATAAGCCCTCGTGAATCAGACCCTACAAATACTCTAAAGACCGAGATCCCAGATATATAGTATTACCTAATTATTTGATTTTCAAATCCAAAATAGAAATCCCTTTAATGACCCATTCCCTGGTCACCTATGCATCAATTGTTATAAGTACTAAGTAACTACCTATAAATATGTACATTTCCACAAAATGTAATTTGTTGCCATGTACCTAATAATTGCCATTATTTTTCCTTAATTTCTTACTCATTTTAATGTTACAAACGCTTTTTGACGTTTCTGCCTAGGCCTTCTACTAAGGCGCCATACCCTTCGAGATTCGTCAATATTGGATATGAAATATACACTTTCCATCATGATGCTAATAAAATTATGCAAGCGTTATAGGTGGACCTTTGTTATTTTTACCATAATGTATTGTTTTTCGTTCGTTCATAATATAATGTATTTAGATGTTCGGTGATCTGTTTTGATAATTCTCCCACTAGTCGTACCTACGTCCGCAGAACACGTTTTGTATGAAAAACAAACACGCTTGTATCTAGTTAGTAGACATTATACCCAATCGATATCATTTGACTAACATTGAAATCGAGAGCTGGTTCAATCAGTTTCTCAACACTCAGTTCCTTACAAGACTTATCGATACGACTAATTTGTAGCTTCTAGAAATAAGAGGTTGGCATAATAAACTAATGTTAACTCATACATACGTAACCACTATAATAGAGCTAGATATCATATCAGCATCAAAATCATAATTTTAAGTAGAATTGCTTTATAAAATTGAACGTGTCAATGTTACCAGCATCCGCTTATACTTCCATAAAATTCAATGCGTCTATGTTGCTAGGTCGCTTAAAACCGGCCTATATGGAAGTTATTGGGGGAGGCCTATGTTCAGCAGCTGTGTACGTCCTGTGGCTGATATGATGATGATGTTGCTAGGACATCACTTACTTATATACATTTGAATACGTCTGTATTGCTAGTATAGCGCTAGAGCTAGACTACTTGTATAAAATGAATGCGTCTATGTTACCAGGGTGGCGCTTACCTACTAGTATAAAATTGAATACGTTTATGTTACTAGGATAGCGCTGACTTGTATAAAATTGAATGCGTCTATGTTGCCAACATAGCGCTTAGTTGTATAAAATATAATACGTCTATGTTGCCAGGATAGAGCAGAGCATTATACAGCCACAATAGTTTTTAATGAACTCGAATACTTACGGGAAAAACATTGAACAATGGCAATTGTTGTCGCAACACTGAATAAGAACACTAACCTATTTCCCTGATTGAAGAAATAACAAATAGCTACCTAGGTGCAAACCAAATAAAAACATGCTAAATGAAATACTAAATCACTGGATTGAGACTAATTTCTGATCTTAGTGGTATTGATTTTGTGTCAAAAATCTAAATCGATACAGAAGTTATGGTTTCAGTATGATCGGTTACTGAAATCTACCGTAAATAGACATTGAAGTACCTATGTGCTTGTGGCTCACCATACTTTTTGTGTACCTACTGATAAATCTGATAATATTTTTACAGACTTCTCAATTAACTAAGAATCTAAGAACTACTTTACTTACAGACTGCAATGGTAATGCTAGGCTTAGATTAGACCAAGATACATACATAGGTACTTCACAGATAAAACAGATTCTCAAATAAGTAGTAGGTAATAGTACCTACCTAATATTTTGTCAAAAATCTTAAAGATAATAAATTAAAGCAGTCCAATTAAATGTGCCTAATTATCTTGAGACTCAGATCTGTTCTAAACCACATCCACGTGCAGTAAGTAGGTATTAATTTAAGGAAAATCATTTTTCTTGCGAATTTGTACTGTCGTATATTCGAATAAAAAATTCTAAGTATCTCACCTACATCTTCGAGGAAACGCAAATTCTTTTCAAGTATATCTATGACGCAAAATTTCCACAAGTTAAATATGTGTGTGGGTATGTATATGTAGGTAGTTTTGTTCGCCTATGTTGCTTGCCACTGCCAGACCGCGTATGCACTGACCTCAAAGCTGCAATTGATATCAATAAAACAGTGATTGATCATAGCAGCAAAGATTGTCAGCTACCGACATAGGTAACCGTTTCACAAAGACGTATCTAGAAGCTTCGATCTTAGTCTATGTACAGAATTCATAAGATTTTCCGAGTAAAATTCGTAATTGTTCATGCGTAACGATTTTACCAGTTCTTGGGATCGCAAGCTAGATTTAGCTAGATATTATTTAGTTATATCCTTTACTAGATTTAGTAAGAAAACATACCAGACTGAATCAGTTCGATCTTGGTAACTATGTTGCTATTAATCAATCAACACAAACAGGAAGCGTGTGATTGCTGGAAGTGAAATATAGAAGTTTGCAGAAATCAATCATAAGTACCTATTCGAACTTTTTACTTCCTCATTGTTATATCTGAACATTTTAAAAGTACTCAATAAAATCCATGATATTTGCTCGTATTTGTACGTGACTATAACATGTTTAACTTAAGTTAGAGGTTGTATGACATTCCTATGCTTCCTTTCTTTATAATTTTTTTTATGTAATACACTATACAAATACATAATATTAAGCTACATACGTTCAACACTAAAATTTAATGTAAAAATTGTTGTAGTCTCCTTTGGACAGATTTGCAAAGATTTTCTGTGATTGTAATGTCCAAACTCTCAACCAAAGAATTTTGAAACGACACCAGTGTTAATAAATTATTTTGTATCAAGAACTGTAAGAAATACTTAAAATGCTCACAGGCCCGCAGCAACTAGTTGGCTTCAGCAAAAAGTTAACAAAGAAAAAAGTTCTAATGAAAATGAGTCGCTGTAAGGGCAGGCTGTTTCCATCGGCCTCTTTCTGCGAATCCGGAATTGCCAGTTTCAGAGTTAAAATCGGTCTTAGGGGTCTTCAAATAGGTACTTTAGAAGCTTTAAGGATTCAATCCTACACGTTAAAAATATTAATAAATGTATTGCCTATCTACTTGTATTGCACACAAGCTGTGTAGACTACTGTAGACAATTCACCAACTAGCTTAGCTCTCATAGTTATCTAGTCGCGAATTGCAACACACTCTTGGCGTCTTTGACCCCGGGACTGCGAAACGTTTCACACTGTATCACACTTTGACCTACTTATAATAGGTACATTGTACAGAAAGTCGAATATTCTTGTGTACCTATGTAAATTAAAAGTATCTTAAGTCTATTTTACGAAGAACACGCCGGCCGAATTACTTACTTATTCTGATAAAAAATTCGGACTTTTCTTTCCTCATCTCAATCAAATTTTATTTGGTGAATCATCATAATCAATTCAACGCATTTCACAGATTGACCCGTACGACAGTACTATTTGTATTGCGGTAGATCAATATTGAAGTAACTGGGACACAGCACACAATCTGTTTCCAACACGATCCTGTGGCTTTCGTGTCACATACGACTTCTTGTTCCTGCTCCATTAAACCAGAACAGCACCTACATAACCATCTTATTACGCCAGCGCCAGCCAATACGCAGTGTTTACAAACCTTATGCTATAATTCTTGTGTACAATGATGTAGTACATTTCACTTCTTAAAACTCAACTCGCAGCCGGTTGTACAGTTTTCGCGTCGTCTGCACGTTACCGTTAGCTTTTAGAAGAGTCAACTGTGAGTCGTTACTCGTTACCATACAAAATAATGTAGCATGTATATTGTATAGAAGTGAAGCACCGCGGGGTCATCAGTCCGATTGGCTGAATCACACCAAGACGCTGGCTGTGACGCATTCAAGCCCTACCTGCCTTATTTTAAAGATTCTCGTAACAAATCATTCTAAATTAGATCAAGTGTAACGCGCAATTGTTTCTTCATTATTCTTTATTTACATTTAAATGTGTTTGCTGTAATAATGAAATGTGGCTCATTACATTGTAATGTATGCGAGTAAAGTTTTAGTAAACTAGTTCCATATTTTATTTTCACGGTCCGCTCTCATATACTAAACAAACACGACAGACTTGTCTTGAGAGAATCTAAAAATAGGGAATACTTATTTATAGTATTGACGTAATAAGAAATGCGTTTTTTTTAGAAACCTACTATAAAATAATTATAACATCTCTGGTAATATGACAAAATACAGATTTTTGTCAAAGAGACCACA